AGGCGCCGAGCCAGGATTCTCTTTTCTTATCTGTGTTTATGCCAATATCTCAATTTATAAAGTCACTTAAAGCAGAAGGAGATGGCAAGAGCGTTTCTCCCTGCAGTGAACGTTAACTGTCCCTCGGGTTGGGATATAAGGAGTACGGAGGAAATGGTCAGAGTGAGGGCTGGGCTGTCCATATGTAAGCAAATTCCTTATCCTTGTTTGTCCACCCCCCCCATTCTCTGTAGACCACGTCTTATCTGGTAGTTTGCCATGTAGGTTTTAAAGTACTGTTTGTAATATTTATTGAGTAGTCACAGTGTCCCAAGGACAACGTATTAGAGCTTTATTATCTTTGAACCTATCATTTTGACTTCAGGTTAAAACTGTCCTTTGTCAAAATACCTTTTAGATATGCCAATAAAACCTTGTGCTAAGGAAAATTAGTATGATTTGTATGTCTAATTAAGGTATTTTTTTTTCCATCTTTTAGGAAAGCACCAGAGTAGTTCAGCCCGTATTTCTGGGGAAAATGATCAGTTATTTTGAAAATTATGATCCCACGGATACTGTGGCTTTGCACACAGCTTATGCCTATGCCGCAGGACTGACTGTCTGCTCGCTGATTTTGGCCATACTGCACCACTTATATTTTTACCACGTTCAGTGTGCCGGCATGAGGTTAAGAGTAGCCATGTGCCATATGATTTATCGGAAGGTAAGTGACATTCAGCATCAAATGTGTACCTTACCCGGAAAGCAACAGAAGTTGTGGGGAAGGTTTTATGTAAATTAAAAATTGTGTAAATAGAATCATTTAAACCAGGGGTGATCCTGGTGGGGCCTGTGAGCTGCGTACAGGTTGTTTGAGGCCTGTTTTGCTTACCTGTGTGTGAGATATGGCAAAACGTATTCATGGCCCTTGTTTTTACTTATTAGCTTTCACTGGTGTTTGTGAATTTAATGTGTAGCTTAAAACAACTCTTATACTTCCAATGTGAGGTAGAAAGGAAAAAAGGTTGGACACCCCTGATTTAAACCTTGCTATTGGCATCAACCTAATTTTTTTTCCTTTATGCAAACTTTCTCAATATATAATGAAAGTTTTCTAGTGCTATTAGGTCATGACTGCCTTTGATAATAGGCTGTTGCAAAATACTAAATTTATAATGAAATCTAATTAAAAATAATTTTTTGTGTTTTGTGCCTCAATCTCATAGATGTCTTTATGGAAGTCTTTTTGTTCATTAAAAGCTTTGTTTACATTAAAGTTGTATTTAAAAATGGAATTCCGTAAAATTGGATCTGTAAAATTAAATCTTGGAGGAATGTAGTTGAGGAATGGAATGAATGGAATCCATAATACTTTGTAATCTAAATCTAACAATGATTTTTTTAATAGCATTTAAGGAAGATGGTTGGATATTTGGGGTAACACTTTCATTTGAGATTGTTTAGTAATCTGAGATCTTAGTTTTTCTATTTTATGTTGCTTTTATTGAAGTTAAATTTTTTTTATTAATTTTTCTTCTACATGTGTCTATTAGGTTTCCACTTTTACCTTTACAGATTTAAAAAGGCTAAATTTTATGACTAACAATATTTAACATAAGGACTGAGAACAAAAACCTCATAAAGAATGAATGAAGATAAATACATTCAGAAAAGAAATCGGACGATTGCTGCAACAAAATATTAAGCAATAATAATAATAATGCAAAGAAAGTAACATTCACATTGTTAGAAGTATGTCCATTATAGAGTACTTTGATCAATTAACTTCTTTTTATTATTTTGTTTTTAACAAGTTAAATTTTTGCACAAAATATTTGTCTGTCAGTATTTCATGGGATTGGTTCCAAGACTGCCTTGGATTCAAAATATAAGGATGCTTAATTCCCTTATATAAACTGATGTAGTATTTGCACATGAACACTCATCCTCCCCCATACTTTAAAAGTCATCTCTGTGTTACTTACAGTACCTAATACTATGTAAATAGTTTTGGGAACTAATGACCACCTTTTTAAACAAAACAAATATTTTCAACCTGAAGTTGGCTGAATCCAGGGATGTGGAATCCACAGATATAAAAGGCCAACTGTATTTTATTTCTCTTTACTGTAGTTTCAGTAAGATCTGGTCTGATGTGTTCAGTAAGTGCTTTTTATATTGAGAAATGCCATGTAATTATACTGTAGGTTTCTGCGGTCTTAACACCTTAGTATGGAAGGAGTGGGACTTCAGATGTCTTTACAAAGGAGTTGGCAGTGTTAATGCCATCCTTGGTATCGCTTTGCCCTGAGTCTTTTTCTTTTCTTTTTTTTAAATTTAAACCTTATTTAAAAATGAAATCAAACCATTGCGAATACTTTTCTTGGCAAAATGCAAGTTCTCTTCGTGTCTTCCTTTTAGTAGAGTCTTATTAATCTTGGAATCCTGGAGGCCTCGTGTTGTGTTGTCCGTGGTAGGTTATAACAAACACGCCCAGCTTCCTTCTGGTCCTGTGACGTGAGAATGGTAACAGTGACTGTATGAGCTGTCAGTGGGTCGTCTTCTCTCTCCTCTCTTCTTTCTTCTTCTTCCTCATCATCATCTTTGTTATTCTCTTCCACTTCCTTCTCCTATCCAGAAAGAAGAGCCCTCAGGTTTCTGTATAAATGAGCTAGCTCTTTATCTTTCCCAGACCGTCCTTAGTTACAACAAATACATAGGACATTTCACTAACACTCCACTGTGAAATCCTTAAATACTGAAGTCAGATTTGAGGTACTGGGTCCACAGAACAAAGCTCTTTGCATAAGTAAGTTATTGTTCACCTGTTTTTCTTATTATTATTATTCTTTTTTTTCTTGAGACACAGTCTTACTCTGTTGTCCTGGGTCGAGTACTGTGGCATCATAGCTCAGAGCAACCTCAGACTCCTGGCCACAAGTGATCCTCTTGCTTCAGCCTCCTGAGAGCTGGGACTACAGGTGCCTGTCATAACACCTGAGTAGTTTTTCTGTTTTTAGTAGAGACAGGGTCTTATTCTTGCTCAGGTTGGTCTCGAACTCCTGACCTCAAGCAATCCACCTGCCTTGGCCTCCCAGAGTGCTCGTATTACAGGCATGAGCCATCGTGCCGGGCTTTTTTACCCCATTCTTTCTACTAATGCTTTGGAAAGCAACCTTTGGGAAATCTGATCTAACTCGGTGCATTTGCTTACTTGAATGCAGACATCTCCCAGAGGTATTAATTTGCCAACTTGATTATGCTGGAAGAATTGTCTTTTTTACAAAGCCCAGAATTGCTTGGGTTAAACCATAGACAAAAACTGAAATTCCAGGAGCGTGGGAAAGATGAACACCCTCATGCAATGCCTGTGTCTGGAAACCTGCCCAGGTGCCGAAATCAAACACTTCTTTATCCCAGATGGGCTGCTTCATAGGCCGGAAGTTGGCACTGCCACACGGCTCTGAAGGGCCCCTCCAGCCCCACAGCATCACAGTTTTTGTTCGAGATCACTGGTTCTGGCAGAAGTCAGGGTGGGTGACACCAGTGGAATTACTACTGAACTCATGGTCGCAGATCGTGGGATTGAATGACCTTGTGGGTTGTAGCCTGTATGAAAATGACTTGTCATTTATTTAGCTTCTCACAGCTTTGGTAAAAGTGCTTTTGGCTTTTCACCCTCAACTTACTGTAGTATATGCACACCATAGAATGGACCTTTTTAATGCTAAGTGTACAGCAGTCCAGTGGCATTAAGCTTATTCACATTGTTTTGCTGCCGTCCCCACCATCCGTGTCCAGAACGTGTTCATCTTCCCCAACTGAAACTCTGTCCTCATTAGACACTGACTCCCTGTGAATCGGGGCGTTTCATGTAAGTGGAATCGTAAATGTCTGTCATTTGTATTTGGCTTGTTTTTTTTTTTTGAGACGGAGCCTCAAGCTGTCCCCCTGGGCAGAGTGCCATGGCATCACGCTCACAGCAACCTCCAACTTCTGGGCTCAAGCGAGTCTCCTGCCTCAGCCTCCCAAGTAGCTGGGACTACAGGCGCCCGCCACAACGCCTGGCCATTTTTTGGTTGCAGCCATCATTGTTGTTTGGCGGGCCCGGGCTGGGGGTTCAAACTCGCCACCTTAGGTGTATATGGCTGGCACCTTAGCCGCTTGAGCCATAGGTGCCGAGCCTGTATTTGGCTTGTATCATGCAACACGTCTTTAAGGTGTGTCCATGGTGTAGCATATGTTGGAATTTAATTCCTTCCTAAGGCTGAGTAATATTCCATTGTGTGACTATACTACATTCTGTTGATCCTTTCATCAGCAGATGGACATTAGGGTTATTTTTGCCTTTAAGTAATTCTGAATAACACTGCTGTGAACATCGGTGGACCACTCTCTGTTGGAGTTCCTACTTTACTTTCTTTTGTGTATATACGGGAAGTGGAATTGTTGATTTATATGGTAATCCTCTGTTTAAATTTTTCAGGAACTACCATGCTTTTTCCATGGTGGCTGCTATTATTTGGGGGAGTGGTTTGTAAACTCAGATTTGAGGCTGTGTAGTTGGACTGCCGTTGATGAGTCCTAGTTTTCTTCTTTCTCTCTACCTGACTTAGGCAGACTGTACTAAGCTCAACCATCCTTATTGGTGGAATAGCGCCCAACTCACGTGTTTATGGTGAGAATTAAATGAGTCAGTTTGTGCAAAGCATTTAGCATAGTGCTTGGCATTTAGCTGGTGTTCAGATGTTTCTGTTATTTATGTTATTGGCACGCAATATAATTTTTTTTTTCCAAGACAGAGTCTCACTCTTGCCCAGGCTGGAGTGCTATAACGTCAGCCTAGCTCACAGCAACCTCAGACTCCTGGGCTCAAGCGATTCTCTTGCCTCAGCTTTCCAAGTGGCTGGGACTACAGGTGGCTGCCACACCAAAAATTAGCACCCAGCTAATTTTTCTAGTTTTAGTAGAGAAGGGGTTTCACTTTAGTCAGGCTAGTCTCAAACTCTTGAGCTCTGGTGATCCTCCCACCGTGACCTCCCAGAGTGTTAGGATTACAGGTATGAGCCCCTGTGGCTGGCCCACAGAACATTTTTATATACATAATTAGATGAAAAGGAAGCATGGATTTGAATGCCATACAAGTGTATAGATGTAATGAGTTAGGATAGGATCCCACTGTTGGTGGAGATGTGCAGGGAGGGTCTTTCAGACAGAACATGCTTGAACAAGGTTGAGATGGGAAAGTGGAGAGGGGTTTGGGGAGTGGTAGTCACATAGTGTGAGAATTTAGGAAAGCAGTAGGATGTAAATCTAGGAAGACAGATTGGGACCAGATGAGGGAGAACCTTGATTAGGAGTTTTAAGGCACTTGGTGTTTATTTACTTGGCCAATGTGAGCCACTGGAAGTTTTGGGGTAAGGAAATAAATACTCAGTAGTGATTTAGGAAAATGCATCTACTAGTGGTTTAATGCATGTGGCTACTCATCTAATGGGGCAGGGAGCACATGGTGATAATGACCTTGGAACAGGAAAGGAGAAGTCAGATCTGGGAGTTACACTCTGACTATCCTAATGGCCATTCATTCCTGTACTTATTTTTACCATTTTGCCCATTTGGTGAAGCAGTTAGTTATCATGAATTCCTGACTCAGGAGAGTTTTAAGTCATTATAATAAAATATTAATTATTTGATCTAATATCGGTAAATTGATCCAGTAAA